CATGAACGACGAGGCGCGCGCGAGCTCCTCCTCCCCCCTCGCTGCAAACCTGGACCGTTCAGCTGGGGATGAATTCATTGACCAGACGGTTTGCTTCGTCATTCGAACGTCGGACTCAACCTCGGGAAACAGGACAGCTCGCATCCACGCCGTCAGCTCAGTCACGGCAGGTTCGGTGCACGACATCCGTCATCCCAATTGCCCCGTTCCAGGATCGCCTTGGATTATTCAGAGGCCATCCTGACCGTCCCCTTGCGCCCCTGCAAGTTCAGAGATCCCCACCAAGATTCTGGGAACATTGAAGCATGTGGCTCACGTGGAAAAGTGGGGCGAATTTGCGAAAGGGGGCGAATGTGCGGCGGGGCAGTCTGGTGCGGAACTTTGGGCTGCACGGGCGGATTTGAGGAAATGGGCAGGGCAGGTTTCCGCAGGTAGCGAGGGGCGAGTTTGCGGAGAAGGGGCGGATTTGCGTTACAGTAGCAGGGACGAGAACTGTTCTTCTCTATCTTGTGGTGTGGTGTGGTGTGGTGTGGTCTGGTGTGGTTTGGTGTGGTTTGGTGTGGTGTAGTGTGGTGTGTGTGGGTGCAGTGGTCCGAAGGGTTCCATTCCATTCCATCGCCTCGGATCGGATGCACTTTCCCCTCCCTGCCTGAATTTCACAATCTTGGCGTGCAATAGACTGATCGCACGCTGAACAGGGATAACGCAACAGAGCAGAGCAGCGTCGAATTATTACGCTTTGCAGGTGTCGCTCGTATAGCTACGACGATTGCGGGGAGCATTCCTCAAGTGGCATATATTTGACGAACTCTCAGGCTGATTCTCTCGAGAGTATAGTGCAACGATCTCGTCGAGCCGTTTATATCGTAAGGCGGCGCGGATTTAATAGGATTGGCCGCCATGATCGTGACTCACGATGACGTGGCGTACAGCGTCACCGTTCTCGATGGCGACGCTCGCGCTATGCCGGAGCTATTCCTTCCCACCGCCGCGCCGCGCGCCAATTCCACGTCAGATAAGTTTCGAAGCGGGCTTTCCCCCAGTGTCCCCGCCGCACCGCAACCCGCCGGCAGGTGTAGCAGCGGCAGCGGAACCTTCAGCAGCCGCAGCAGCAGCGACAGCGGAACCTACAAGGGCAGCGGCAGCAGCAGCAGCAGCAACAGCAACAGCAACAGCAGCAGCAGTAGCAGCAGCAGCAGCAGCAGCAGGAGCAACAGCGACCCGAGCAGTCCCATGAGCCCCTATCAGGTCGTCCCCATCGGCCGTCTTTCCAGCAGCGCGCGGGACACTTCCGCGCGACCTCCGCAAGCCACCGCGCAATTGCCCGACGGCCACATTCCGCGCCAGCCGCCCGAAGCCCAACGCCAGAGCGCGGAATCGCCCGCTGCGCCGAGCGGCGCAAACGCAAGCCCCACGGAGGCAGTGGTGGTGTGCCGCGCGGGAGAGCCGTTCACGGTGGTGGCGCAAACGAGCTTCCGCGCGCCGTTCCGCGTGGAGATGCGCGTCGCGGGGAAGTCGCCGGGATACACGGAGTATTTTTACTCGCCCGGGGAGATTAATTTCCACTGGTTCCAGGGCTGGCATCTGGGCCAGGGCCGATTCGCGCCTTTCACTTGCGACCCGGCGCTGCCGCGAGTTGCGGACGCGGAGTCGGAGGCCCGAGAAAAAATCTCCGCCGGAATTGCGCCGCCTGAACCGGCGCAAGAGCCGCCGCAAAACTTGCGAGGGCTCTGGCCGCAGAGCCATGCGGCGGGTGAGAAAGAAACCGCGAAGAGTCGCAGGAGCCGGCGGAAGGCGGCGGGCGGGACGCGCGGGATGCAGACAGGCGGGAGGCGCGGAAAGGAAGGCGCGCACGGCGGGGACAAGAGGGAGGGGACTGGGCGCAGGCATACGGTGGCCGGCGCGTGGTGGTGCTGCTCCCCCGCGCACTCTCCGAAGGTGAAAGTGACTGCGCCGACGACGGGCGCGCGGGGCGGAATGAAAAGGCAGGGACTGGGGAAGGTGCATTGGCGAGGCGGGCCGAGAGTGTCCGGAGCAGCAGCAGCAGCAGCAGCGGCGGCGGCGGAGGAATGAACAGCAGGGGAGTGAAAAGGAGGAGAGAGCTGGGGAGGCCTGCAGCACAGAGCAAGAATGGGAGGAGGCGGACGGGTGGGGGTGGCGGGACGAGCGGGCCGGCTTGCCCATTCCGTCCGCCCTCGCTCTCTCCTTCGACCCAAGCTCCAACGCTGCCGACACCAGCAGCAACTCGGGCACTGACTCCTCCTCGTCCCCCTCCTCGCCCCCGTCCTCGCCTTTCCACCCTCGCCTCGCACCCAGAGGCGCAGAGGTAGCAGAGGCGGACAGTGAGTTGCGTGCAGAGGGTGGTGAATGCAGCGCAGGCGAGCAACAGGTGGGTGCGGCCAGCAGGGTGCAGTGCATCCCGGGCTCCTTTCAACCCGCCTGCATCCTGTCGCCCCTGACCCAATTGGCACCGCACTCACATGCTCTTTGTGACGCTGCTGCTTCACACGGCAGCACGGGTGACGAGGATGGTGGTGACAAGAGCTCCAACACCAATCAAGAGGATGCGACGAGCAGCAGCGATTCAGAGACGGCAGAGGACGACTCGGATGAAAGTGCTGTTTCTGAAAGTGATGAAATTCCCTCTCGGTCATGCCTGCCGCCTCTCCTCTCCCTCTGGCCGCCCTGCAAGTCGCCTCCACAGCAGCGCACCGTCCCGCCCGTGCTCCCATCAGACCTGCCGTCTCTCACCCCTTCAACGTCAATTCACCCGGTGGTGGTGGATTTCCGAGTGGACGTGCTCTTCCAGTCCATCCGCCTGCTGCCCTGCTCCGCCCGCACCACTGCCCACCCCACCATCTCCAACCCCACTCGTGGTTACACCAGCACTGCTGCTCACTGCGAGCACTGTGAGAAGCGCCTCAGGTGGTACCTGGGGGAGGGGGGCTTTGGCCAGGCTGCACCTGCGGCTGCTGCAGGGGCAGCAGGGGCGCGTGGGGAACAGACAGGTGGGGGCGCTCTAGGGAGGGGGGCAAATGGACTGGGGGATAAGGCTGGTTCGGGAGGTAGTTGTGGGGGAGGCGATGGTGGGGAAGGCGGGATCTCAGCGGTGGATTTGCCAGGACCAGTGCCCTTTCACTACGAGGACTTGGACCAACAGGTGCGATGCTGCCAGCCACTGGTGAGGTCATGGTATGTGTGCGTATGCTGCCGCTGGTGAGGTCATGGTATGTGTGTGTGCTGCCGCTGGTCAGATAATGGTACCACTTGTGAGTATGGATGTTCTGGTGAGGAGTCAGGTTCAACAGAAGATGGAAGTAGTGAACTGTTATCGTGCACCTATTGGGCCCACCCAACTGATCTCAGACTTACATTATCAGTGCGCTTTCCTGTATTCGAAATGGCCTGCTTGCAGGTGAAGGTGTCACTTGGCTTCAACTGCCATCAGAGACTGAGGGAGAGGGGGCTGGCTGTTCCAAGCCGCCTTGCCAGGACAGGGAGGACTTGAGTGTGACTGGATGCTGCAGACACTAGGTGATTCGATTGTATTGTAGGGTAGTTTCCAATCCTAGCTAATCTCCCAAGTAGGCCAAAGAGCAGTAGTTAATATAAGTATCACTATAAGTCAATATTGTTATTATTGATATTAATATAGTGCATTGACACTCAACCACTTAACATATTGACGAATACTCAATTTCGTGTGCCGAAGTTTTCAACGAATCGGTTGTCAATATCGGATGAATTCTCCCGACAAGCACCACCGGACAGCCCAACTCCACCGCTCCACAACCTGCGTAGCGGGGCGAGGCGCTGGGAGCGCGTTCCACGGATTCATCGGAAGCAGCCAGCAGTCGCGCGCCACTGGGACAGCTCTCATATCACGAATCCCACCGAGCGCGCTCACGACGGATCTCAGCCACTCTAAGCGAGTCTCCGATTCCAAGCAAGCCAAGCCCATTCCAAGCCGGACCCCGCGACATTTCGTGAGCTGGGCACTAGAAGTTGCCAGAACGTCGAATCGTAGCCATTAAAACCTCGTTGTGTGTTGCTCGCCGTTGATCTCTGACTTGAATTGTTTCAGCCTCCCAGCTGCCGTTGCGCTGACACTTGCGGATGGCTTCCCGCGGGGGGCGCTCGTGGGGTCGGGGCAACCGGCGGCAAGAGGCGGAGGCGGGTGGCGGAAGCGGTAGATTCGGCGGAGGGCGCAATCGGGGTCGGGCGGAGGCGCAGAGGGGTGCGCGCGGAGGCGGGCGGCGGGTGCAAGGGCGGGCGGTGACGGCGGAAGAAGAGGCGCTGCAGTCGCTGCTGGAAGGTGCGGGGAAAGGGGGGGCGCGGGAGGGTGGGTGAGTGGTGGGGGGGAAGAGAGTGGGGAAGAGAGTGGGGAAGAGAGTGGGGAAGAGAGTGGGGAAGAGAGTGGGGAAGAGAGTGGGGAAGAGAGTGGGGAAGAGTGCTGGATGAACCTCAGCTGCCCCTTCCAGGGTGGCCGGGGCTGAGGGCGGAGGGGTGGAGGGGCGGAGGGTGGTGGGGTGGAGGGTGGAGGGGTGGGGCTGCGCGTTTCAGACGAGAGTGTCATTTGCCGCCCGGATCTCCCACCCTGCACTTGCTCCCTTCCCCCGCTCCTGCTCCCGCTTCCTCTCCCACTTTCCCCCACTCTCCCCCCCACCCCGGTGATGTCAATCCGTAGCTTCCCCACCTTCCCCAACGTTCCACCCTTTCCCCTCCGCCCTTCCTCTTAAGAGGCTGGCAGGAGGAAGCAGGCAGGGCAGCGGCGACTCAGTAGCACAGTGGTGACTGTAATTGAAGGTGACAACAACGGTGCCACCCTTAATAGCACCAGCAGCGGCAGCAGCAACGTCATAACTGTCACCACCGCTGCTGCTCCAGCCATTCCCAAGGGCCCAGCAACCGATCACTTCGAAGCATCCCTTCGTTACTATCACACTGCCCTCTCCTCCCCCGCCCTCTCTCCCGTCGCCCGCCTCTCTGTTTTGTTTGACATGGGGGAGGCTTATCTGGGGCTGGGGGAGGCGCAGCTAGCAGACGGGAAACGGGCGGCAGGGGGGCCGATGAGTCAGCCTGTGCTGACGTGGCAAGTGGTGAAACGGCTGGAGAGGGAGGCTGCCACATCAGCTGCTGACTCGTGCCGTCTCGCATTTGAGGCTTTCGATGAGATCTGTCGCGTTGGCCCCACCCTTTGCTCTGCTGACTCAGCAGGGGGTGCCCAGTCACCCGCAGACGTCAGCGGCAGAGGAGGCGGGGGTGGAGGCAGAGGGAGGGGAGGGGGAGAGGTCGGGGAGGATGCTGACGTGGCGGAGATGGTGCAAGGGGCGGCAGTGAATGCGGCTAATGCGCTGGTGGCATGGGCAGAGGCGGTGGGGGAGGTGGAGGAGGAGGAGCAGGGGGATGGAGCGTGCGAGGGAATGGCAGTGGATGGGGGGGAGCAGCAGCAGGCGCAGCAACAGCAGGGGCGGGCGGGGCAAGGCGGAGTGAAGGCGCCACAGCTGCTGCGCGAGGCAGCAGCGCGGTACGGTGCAGCAGCAGGCGCAGCACCGGGTGACACGGACCTGCTGTCCAACCTGGGGGACTGTGCTGTGAAGACCGCTGAGCTGCTGGTGAGGCTGCACCCATGTCCCTTGAGGCACGGGGCACGGGGCACAAGCAGAGGGCATGGAGCAGAGGTTACGAGTGTGGGCAGCAGCGGTGGTGGCACCGTGTGACACGGCTGTGCTGTCCATTATGGGGGAGCGCCATAACATGACACAGCGTCAGTCACCTAATCTGCCGTGCCTGCCTTGCTCTCCCACGTTCCTCCTCCCCTTCCCCCCTGTTCCGTATCCCCCCACCCATCTGTGGCTCTTCCTGCTCATCCCCCCCCCGCCCATCCCCTCCTCTTTTCCCCTTTTCCCCTTCTCCCCCTTCACCCTTCCCCCTTCCCATGTGTCTTGTCCCCCCACCAGTGCCCAGAGCGGCCAGTGGGCGAGGGGGCGGAGGCAGCATGGGCGGGGGCGTGGGGGCAGTACGAGAGGGGCATGGGGGCGTATGCAGCGGCGTGCTCGCTGTGTGACGCGCGGGTGGGGGACGACCTGCCAGGGCTGCTGCACAACTGGGGCGTGGGGCTGCTCTCCGCCGCGCAGGTGAGGCTGCGGGCTGCTCACCGCTGCTCAGGTGAAGCTGCTGTGAGGTGACGGGTAAGGGCAGACCCACCACTGTAGAAGCATCTATGGGTGGCACGTTTGCCCGCAGCAGCACGTGACTTTACTCCCCACCGCTCAACCGCTCTTCTCCCTCTTTCCCTCCGTGCTCTCCCCATGCTGCCTCTTGCGCTGCAGCGCTGCCCTGAGCCTGAACAGGAGGTTCGGCTTCTGACAGAAGCTGCGGAGAAGCTTCAAAGGGCAGCCGATTTCCAGCCCACAGACATCGCCTCTCGTCTGGCTCTGGGGGAGGTGTTATCTGCACAGGCAGAGGTGCTATCTGCACAGCGGGCAGGATCAGCTTTGCCATCTGCCACCCTACAGCAGGCCCTGCACCTGCTCTCTCTCTCCCTCTCCCGCGGATTCTCTGCCGCCCTGCGAATCGACTCCCGCCATCCAGAGGCCCTCCTGGGGGCGGCAGACGTGCACCTGTCTGCTGCCCGGCTGCTGATGGGGCGGGCGGCCGGCAGGGAGAGGGGCGGCGGTGGCGGCAGCAGGGAGGGTGGAGGGGAGGGCAAGGGTGCTGGGGATGAGGTGGCGGCAGCGCTGCCGCATGAAGCAGTGGACCACTTGCAGCATGCCATGTCAGCGTACCGTGCTGCCATGGTGGCATTGAAAGGTGTGCGCTTCGCTCTGGCTTCTGCCGTGAGCCCATCCTTGCATGCATCCATGCGTGTCCATCCATCTGACCATTCATCCCCATGTGTGCTTCCTGTGCTTCCTGTGCTTCCTGCACACATGCATGAATGGTGCGATGTGGTAGGGTACTGTACCACATTGCCTTATGGCCTTCCATCCTGGCATCAAACATTTGTCTCCATGGCCCCTCTCCGCTCCCCATTCTCGCACCACTCCATCCAGCCACGGATGTGTTATCCTATGCGGATCAATGCAGTGGCCTGTACAACATGGCATGTGCTGCTGCGCTGGCAGGGCTGCTTGCTGAGTCAGCAGACATTCTTGCCAGGCTGGCCGCAATTGGTTGGCTCTGCAAGGGAGATTTGCAGAGTGATGAGGATTTCAGATTTCTCAGGCAGTCCCAGGTATACACAAGCTTGCTGTCCGAATTAACAGCGCAAGAATAGCTGTGATACCTGCTGCTCACCTTTTGACATGGATTGCTCGGCTTCTAACGAGGATTGCTTTTCTGTGACTGATCGCTCTCAGTTACTGCTGCCAATTGTTCAGCTATATAACATACGCTCATGCCATCATGTTGTAGTGTTGCTTATGGGGGCTGCCCTTAGTGCAATCCTCGTTCCCTCCCTCAGTGTGTTTGTCCTAACAACCGTTTAGGCTGCGTCAGAACATTCGGGCTGCCCTGAACGGAATAAACTACCAGCGCGCAACGAATCCCGCCCCCATAAAAAAAATGGCTGTGCCTAGAGATTGCATCGCGCCTAAAAATGAGAGCCGTAGATCCTCGAAATAACGAACGCGCCACGACTATTCCAAAATTTCACTCTCGAAGGCCAATGTCGCACGAAGTGCGACGCGACAAACATACGTATCATTGGGTCGATCTGCGATCAGGCAACTCACATTCCAGAACGGGTTCCAAGCAACCTTCCACAGCATTTTCTTCCAAGCTGATTTGGCAAAACGGGTTCCTTGCGGTAGCTAACGGCCCCTTGCCTCCAAGCCCGACACGGGATAACACAGCACGAGACATGACGCTAGAAACGGAACTATCGCTTCAACAGGCCATCACACCCCCAACACTCCCTCCATGTTTGCGATGGCACTGACGATAAAGACCTTCCTACACATCGACAGATTTTTAAACCAGAAAATCCCTCCTTTAGCCAATCAATATTCTACCATCCCCTTCTCAAGCTTACATGCCGGGCGGCATGGTAAAGCTGGGTCCGCGAGTGAGAATCGCGTACAGCAGGCCAGCGACACAGCCAGCGAGGGGAAGCGTGAGAACCCACCCGAACCCAGCAATGGCCACCATGGTCCAGTTGATGGCCCGCCAATTGCCGTTGCACAGCCCCACGGCGACGGTCGCGCCGACGATGCACTGAGTGGTGGAGACCGGCAGCGCGAGAAACGACGCGGTAATGACGGAGAGGGCAGAGCCGAGCTCCATGGAGAACCCACGCGATGGCGAGTGGTACGTGATGTTGTTGCCGAGGGCCCGCATGATGTGGTAACCATCTGCAGCAGGTGAGACGATAGCGGTTAGAGGGGAGCGCAGAGGCGAGTATAATCGAAATTCTAGCAAGGAGAGCTGCTGATAATTCTCAAAAGGGAGGTAAAGGAAATGACAGGGGCTGGTTCTGATAATTCTCAAAAGCAAAAGATGTGAACCAACGGAATGACAGAGAACGAAGGGTTGGGTGAAAGGCGAGCAAGGGAATATCCTACAGAGAGCAAGACCGAGGTCGAGGGCGATTCCGACATACGCGAGCATCCACGTGGGCACGCTGGCATCCGTCTTGAACGTCCCCGAATCCCAGATCTGGTAGACTCCCGCCACGGGACCCAGCGCGTTTGCGATGTCGTTGGACCCGTGCGCGAAACTCGCGAAGGCGGCGGTGATTACTTGGAGCAGGGAATAGAGGTACTCCGTCTTGTTGTCCTACAGCACCGCCACGTCGTGCGCGCGCAACGCGCCCTTGTTTTCACTCTGTAGGGTCGCCACGTCGATGAAAATCGCCCGCCATAGCAGCACCTTGACGTGATTAACAAACCGCACAAACGAGTTCTTCGACTTGGGCTTCTCAGGCTCCTTCTCCTTCATCTCCTCGGGATCGTCGACCGGCATTCCCAGCTGCTTCTTCTCGTCGTCGCTCAGCAATTGCGGCGTGAAGGCGCGCTTCAGGTACATGTCGATCTTAGGGTCCTGCGGCTGCTCCGGCACGCACCAGATGTAGAAGATATGATACCACTTGAGTGTCTCCTCCTTTTCCAGCCGTCGGATGAAGAAGGGCACGAGCAATCCGACGCAGAAGAGCAGCATCGCGCCGGTCACCGCGCCGATAATGCCGAACGCCAGTCCCACGTTGCCAGCGACCTTGACCGCGCCGCCGACAGTCGAGGCACTGAAGGTGAGAGTCGACTTGCCGTTCTTGGTCGCGACGTAGAACGACACGATGAAGGTGGTGATGGTGAAGTACACGGGAATCGCGTAGATGCCGGCGCGCAGCGAGTTCTTGCGCTTCATGACGGCGTAGAGCGTGATGGTGTAGATTATAGCGGCAAGAATTCCAGCCACAGCCGGCGCGATGACCCACGACGCCGCGACCTGCCCCACGCCCTTGTTGTCCCAGCCCCAATTCACGGCGTCAAAGCCGAACGCGCTGACGCCAACGCCGATAAGCGCGCCGATGACAGAATGTGTGGTGGACACGGGCAAGCCAAAGTACGTGGCGGTCATGACCCACGTGGAAGAGGCTACCAGCGCGCACATGAAGCCCGACATGAGGAGGTCGGGGCGATTGTTGAATAAGCTGGTTTGAATAATTCCGTCTTTCACGGTCTTCGTCGTGGTGGCGCCAAGCGCAATCGCTCCGCCGAATTCCGTGAATATGGCGATGCAGACGGCTTGAGAGAGCGTGAGCGACCGCGATCCGACGGACGTGGCGTAAGAGTTGGCGACGTCATTGGCTCCTGCGCAATGGGTACAAAGAAGGCAATGTCAGCGAATGTGGAAGCTGGAGACGGGAAAGAGAATCAAATGCAGCGAGCATGACAATGATGCTTACCGATAGAGTAGCCATCTAGAAAGGCGAACAGCATGCTAACCACGAATATCCATGTGTAGGAATGAACGGGCATTACGACGGCGGCCATGGTGCCTAGCTTTCAGGGACCCACCAAGAGGCTCAAGGAGTGGCAGTGCAGTGCGGTAGATTGACGAGAGGAACCTGCCCTGCACTACAACTTGTAGTGCAAAACAGAATTGCAGAGGTGCAACTGACTCGTTGCGCCTTGCAGGGCTGAAGGGCGACCTTTGTAATCATGGAAAGTCGAGTGATCCCTTGTAAATGCGAGCTTGTCGGCCGCAACCTAGCCTGTAATCGCGATCCCGCGATCCGCCTTGCTGCAGCAATGCGGCCTGCAGACGAGTGGGCGATAATGGAGGTTAATATACTCTAAAATCAAAATATTTCCAAACGATAACCAGGCTCTGAGCGAGAAAGTCTCGTTCGTTGATGCATGTCATGGATAATTTGGGTGGTTGATTTGTAGGCTTTGTTGACCTTAGGGCTGGTGCCCGCAAAAGTTTTTCTGATTTTTGAGCCAGCGGAGTTGGCGCAAAGCATGTCGGTGTCTGGGCTCGCCCTGGGGAATTCAAAAAAGAGGTATCAAGAAAGATGCTCCAGGTGCGGCTTGCTGCATGAGCGTATTGCTGCACCACATGCAACCTGTGTGTTTATTCGGCATTGTGCTATGCTTCGTGCCAGGCAGTGTCGAAAAACATTAATCCCTTCTAAAGCATGCACCAGAATTAAAAATCTGAGAGTTTTATGCAATTTTATCTTTCTAATTTCGGTCTGATTGTCTGACTTTACTTACCATTTTCTTAGCCATCCTGATTTTTCAGGCTGAGTTTGTTCCCTACCGCTCGATTGCACACACCTGCTCTTTCTCTTTTCCCCTTTCTCTCCCCTTCCTACTGCTTGCAGCGCTGCCCTGACACTGACCAGGAGGTTCGCCTTCTAGCGGAAGCTGAGAAGTAGCTTTGTAGGTCACTCAATTTCCAGCCCACAGAGGAACAATGAAAGGTGTGCAAGGGAATGGCAGTTCTGACCTCCGGCTTGCTTGCATCCATCAGGATCCCCCATGCTATTCGATGCCAAGGATCCATCCATCCCACCAGCCATCCACATATGATTCCTCCATCACCATGCCATGCTATGCTATACCATGCCAGGCTATGCCAGGCTTACTCTTTCTGTTGGCCTCTCCCTCTCTCTCCTCCCCTCTGTGATTTTGTCTAACGCCATCTTTCCAGGCACAGATGGGATGGAGTATGGGGATCAGTGCAGTGGGCTGTTGTACAGCATTCCGTATGCAGCTGCACCGCATCCTGCTTGCTGAGTTGGCGGACATTGGCAGGCTGGCCGCAATTGGTTGCTCTAATCTAAATGAAAGAGTCTTCAGATTTCTTAGGCAGTCCCTACCAGTACAATATTCTCCACGACACAGATGTCACACACACCACAGCATTGCCACTAGTAATACCATCATAATCTAATCAGAAGCAAGGCCTTGCTGAATTCCAGTAGGCCCTTATGAACCCAGAACCTCCTAAACCCACCAAGCCCAAAATAATCACTACATTACCCTCCCTTCTTCAAGCCTACATGCCGGGTGGCATGGTAAAGCTGGGCCCGCGCGTCAGGATTGCATAGAGCAAACCAGAAACGGTTCCTGCCAGGGGGAGTGTGAGAATCCATCCAAAGCCCGAAATGGCCACCATGGTCCAGTTGATGGCCCGCCAGTTGCCGTTGCACAGCCCAACCGCGACTGTCGCGCCCACAATGCACTGCGTGGTGGAGACCGGCAGCGCGAGGAACGACGCGGTGATGACAGAGAGTGCTGCACCAAGCTCCATGGAGAACCCACGTGACGGCGAGTGGTACGTGATGTTGTTCCCGAGGTTACGCATGATGTGGTAACCATCTGTAGCGATAAATTGACAGCATGGGAAGGTAGAGGCGAAGAGGGGGGAAGAGGCAGTGAGTCACCTCGCATGGACGACAGAGGCCGCAACGGCCAGAGCTATCATAGCATGGCACAGTTTGCGTGGCATGATGGCACGAGCAAAGAGACGAACTTACACAAGGCGAGGCCGAAGTCGATGCCGAGACCGGCGTACGCAAGCATCCACGTGGGTACGCTCGCCTCCGTCTTGAAGGTTCCCGAATCCCAGATCTGATACACTCCGGCGAGAGGACCCAGCGCATTCGCGACGTCGTTGGACCCGTGCGCGAAGCTCGCGAACCCGGCGGTGATGACTTGCAGCAGCGAGTAGAGATACTCCGTCTTGTTGTCGTACAGCACCGCCACCTCGTGCGCGCGCACCGCGCCCTTGTTCTCATGCTGCAGGCTAGCAACGTCCATGAAAATCGACTGCCACAGCAGCAGCTTGATCTTATTGTATAGGCGCACGGCCGGGTTCTTCGACCTCGGCTTCTCGGGCTCCTTCTCCTTGCTCTCCTCGGGATCCTCGACCGGCATTCCCAGCTGCTTCTTCTCTTCGTCGCTCAGCAACTGCGGCGTGAAGGCGCGCTTCAGGTACATGTCGATCTTGGGGTCCTGCGGCTGCTCCGGCACGCACCAGATGTAGAAGATGTGGTACCACTTGAGTGTCTCCTCCTTCTCCAGCCGTCGGATGAAGAAGGGCACGAGCAATCCGACGCAGAAGATGAGCATCACGCCGGTTACCGCGCCGATGATGCCGAACGCAAGGGCAACATTGCCTTGTACCTTGATGGCGCCGCCGGTGGAAGCGGGCTTGAAATCGAGGGTCGACTTGCCGTTCTTGGTCGCGACGTAGAACGACACGATGAAGGTGGTGATGGTGAAGTAGACTGGAATCGCGTAGATGCCAGCGCGAAGGGAGTTTTTGCGCTTCATGACGGCGTACAGCGTGATGGTGTAGATGAGAGCGGCGAGAATGCCGGCGAGAGTCGGCGCGAGCACCCACGACGTCGCGATCTGAGCGACGCCCTTTCCGTCCCAGCCCCAATTCACGGCGCCCGTTCCGTACGCGCTAACACCGACTCCGATAAGCGCGCCGATGATGGAATGCGTAGTGGAAACGGGCATTCCTAGGTACGTAGCGACCATGACCCACGTGGATGACGATATCAAAGCGCACATGAAGGCCGACATAAGCAGGTCCGGGCGATTGCTGAAAAGGTTTGTCTGGATAATTCCGTCCTTGACTGTCTTTGTCGTACTGGCTCCCAGCGCAATCGCTCCTCCGAACTCCGTGAAGATGGCGATGCAGACGGCTTGGGCGAGCGTGAGCGACCGCGAACCGACGGACGTGGCGAAAGAGTTGGCGACGTCATTGGCACCTGCGATGAACACAATCAGGGGACAATTTCTGAGTAATGAGGCGTGTGCGACGGATTGGTAAGTAAAGTGAAGGAAGTAAAATTAAACGCCGCAGCGGGCATATAAAATTCTTGCTTACCGATAGAGTAAGCGTCCAAAAAGGCGAAGAGCATGGTAATGACAAATACCCATGTGTAGGAATGGACAGCCATTACGACAGCCATGGTGGCTGGCTTCTACAGGCAGTCGCCAAGCGGCTCCTAGGAATGCCAATACAGCAAGCAGGTTTAGTGGGGACGCAACACGCGAGGCTGAGCCTGCTCCTGAATCGAGCTCAGCGATCAAGACAGACTGATTTTCTGAACTTGGTCCTGGGCAAGGAGCTGCTGCCTATTTGTAAAGTTGAAATGCGCAACACAAGCGATGTGGTGTTGGGGAATTGACATGCAAATGTGAGATGTATCCTAGCCTGGAACCGCGACCGCATGCCACACCCTTTTGAAGAAGGGCGGCCTACGGTAAAGAAGCCAATTAAACAGGCTAGTCTTTTTTTGGAAAGCTATGCGATTTCTATCTGTATGCAATCAAAAATAGTGAGTAAAACTTGCGGGTTTCAAAATTAACCAGCATTAAATCATTGCTTAGCTAGGAAAGAAACGTTTTGTAAGGTGGGTTGGCACAAAACAGGTCGACTTCCCATGTTCACAGCAGCAAAGATCCCCAGGTGGAAGATACCCCAGCCGGGGCCTGTAACAGTAGGGCCTGCCTGCTGATTCGGCCATGTGACTAGGCTAGTACAGTAAGCATCCTGTGATTGGCTGTTCGTACACATCTCTTCAGAGACGCACAGGAATCTTGAATCGCAGTCGTTCATTCCAATTTTAGATTCCATACCGCGTCGCTCTTACGACCCGTCGTCAGCTTGGCTTAACTCGTGGAGGTATGGAGCCTAGGTTCCACGTCACATGAAGAAGCGCCCGCGAATGAATATCGCCCTGAAACTCGACCAGCAATGTCTAGGGGAGGTTCTTGGGTTTAGGGTTGCCGCTGCACACATCAGACTAAAAGAGTGGTTTTGACTGTACGCCTTAGTGGGGCTCCAAATGTTATAAGCACGAGCATTTCAGTAAGTACAATGAGAAAGCGGGAGTCTACAAGAAGAATTAAGATGGCATCTCGTAGATTCCCAACTCCCCATGCAGTTCCAGGGTTATTGTTTCAGACAAGGTTGTCTGGTCGGGTCTCACTCTCCCCGCTGGCTGGCGTATTGTCAATTTTATCAATAACAAATTCTAAATACTGGAGAAGGATCATGCAAAACACATAAACTTACAAACACATAGAATCAGTTCAATGATATTTGTTAGCCCCATGCTCTTCACAATTAGCATGATTCTCTTTATTCCTTATGCAAACCAGATAGGGCAACAGCACCCAGGAGACTCCATTTTCCTGTCACATAGTGGCCTGGCCAGGTGGGCTGAAATCACGCGTTCAGTCCATTTGGAAAGGAGACGTTGGCATTTCTATGATAAAACATCTCCTTGCAATGGAGCTGCTGAAGAGACTGAAATCGCCAGTGGCATCATTACTCAATGGTTAAGCCACAAGACTTTATGAACCAAATAAGCCCTTCTAGAACCTATGAAAACCTATCCTCAGGAACCACACCCTACCCTTTCCACAGGCTACATGCCAGGAGGCATGGTGAAGCTGGGTCCGCGCGTGAGGATCGCATACAGCAGCCCTGCGACCGTGCCCGCAAGGGGGAGTGTGAGAACCCATCCGAAGCCAGAAATTGCCACCATGGTCCAGTTGATGGCCCGCCAGTTGCCGTTGCACAGCCCCACCGCCACGGTCGCGCCGACAATGCACTGAGTGGTGGAGACCGGCAGCGCGAGGAACGACGCGGTGATGACGGAGAGAGCTGCACCGAGCTCCATGGAAAACCCACGCGACGGCGAGTGGTACGTGATGTTGTTCCCGAGGTTTCGCATGATGTGGTAACCATCTGCAGGGAGGGAGAGAAGAAGAATATCAGAGTGTCACCCAGGCAGGGAGACTGAATGATGGCAGCGGTGGCGAGGAAGTGAGGAAGGGACGAAATTGGAGAAGAGGCATTGAGCTCACCTGGATGGCTGCGTGTTCGTTAGCACAGCGGCACGGGGCAGAGGCGACGGCAGGCAAGGTAAGAGCGACTTACACAATGCGAGGCCGAAGTCGATGCCGAGACCAGCGTACGCAAGCATCCACGTGGGCACGCTCGCCTCCGTCTTGAAGGTTCCCGAATCCCAGATCTGATACACGCCAGCAAGAGGGCCCAGCGCGTTCGCGACATCGTTGGACCCGTGCGAAAAGCTCGCGAAACCGGCGGTGATGACCTGTAACAGCGAATAGAGGTACTCCGTCTTGTTATCGTACAGCACCGCCACCTCGTGCGCGCGCACCGCGCCCTTGTTATCGTGCTGCAGACTCGCAACGTCGATGAAAATCGACTGCCAGAGCAACAGCTTGATCTTATTGAACAGACGCACGGCCGGGTTCTTCGGCTTGGGCTTCACGATTTCCGTCTCCTTCATCTCCTCGGGGTCCTCGACCGGCATTCCCAGCTGCTTCTTCTCGTCGTCGCTCAGCAATTGCGGCGTGAAGGCGCGCTTCAGGTACATGTCGATCTTAGGGTCCTGCGGCTGCTCCGGCACGCACCAGATGTAGAAGATATGATACCACTTGAGTGTCTCCTCCTTCTCCAGCCGTCGGATGAAAAAGGGCACGAGCAATCCGACGCAGAAGAGCAGCATCGCGCCGGTCACGGCGCCGATAATGCCGAACGCCAGCCCCACGTTGCCGTTGACCGTGATGGAGCCGCCGGTGGAAGCGGCCTTGAACTCGAGCGTTGACTTGCCGTTCTTTGACACGACGTAGAACATGACAATAAAGGTGGTGAGTGTGAAGTATACCGGAATCGCGTAAATGCCCGCGCGAAGCGAGTTTTTGCGCTTCATAACGGCGTACAGCGTGATCATATAGATGAGAGCGGCGAGAATGCCGGCGAGCGTCGGCGCGAGCACCCACGACGTCGCGATCTGAGCGACACCTTTTCCGTTCCAGCCCCAGTTCACGGCGCTCGTGCCGTACGCGCTAATGCCGATTCCGATAAGCGCGCCGATGATGGAATGCGTGGTGGAAACGGGCATTCCTAGGTACGTGGCCACCATGACCCACGTGGACGACGACACGAGCGCGCACATGAAACCCGACATGAGCAGGTCCGGGCGATTGCTGAAAAGGCTCGTCTGGATAATTCCGTCCTTGACTGTCTTTGTCGTACTGGCTCCCAGCGCGATCGCTCCTCCGAACTCCGTAAAAATGGCGATGCAGACGGCTTGTGCGAGCGTGAGAGACCGCGAACCGACGGAGGTGGCGAAAGAGTTAGCGACGTCATTGGCACCTGCGATGATTGAAAGGATTGTAGGAAAGAAATGTCAATAAACAATTTGTTTTGCTACACTTGCCATGGGTTGAAAAGTCTGAGGTACGATTTAATCATTTGCAGAGAACACGATCAATGTTGCGCACCGATGGAGTAGGCGTCCAAAAAGGCGAAGAGCATGGTCAAGACGAACACCCATGTGTAGGAGTGGACGGCCATTACCACCGCCATGGCGGCTAACTTTCAGGGACTTCAGCCAAGTGGCTCTAAAAAGTGGAAATGTGGTACCGCAGGTGTGCTGCTGAGAAACAGGAAACTGGAGTCCTCTTTCAGAACTGAGCTTCACAACAAGCTGCTGCGGCTGCTTTATTCTACTTTGATAGCCTGAGCTGCAGATCACTTCGAAAACCACTGAAGGGGGTGATTGAGAATTGACATCAAGAGCGTGCCATGCCATGACGCCCCCAACGAACCGCGATCAGGCAGTTCTCCTTTCCGCGGGGGAGCTGCCTTGAGATAGATTGAATATGTGATGAGGGCTATAATTTCCGACTTCCCTAAACGACAGTCGAAATCTGCAGTGACCTTCACAATGCACACCAGGATGAGTGCTTTGCACGTTAAAATATGTATTTCTTGCAGTCTTGAGACATCGCTTAACTATTTTCCCAGCTCGAAAAGAAACGTTTTTGTGGCGGGTACCCGTAAAACATATCAGGTTCCCAAGCCCACGGCACGGCTTCCGCAAACCAGCAGGAAGATGCTCCATCTGCGGCTTGCCACGTCTGCCTAGCGTTGTGGCTAGATTCCTTGCCAGAAATGTGTTATAGAATACTAATCTGTGATTGGTTGTGCAGACACATCTCTCTAGAATCATTGATCTGAGTCGTTCATTCTAAGATGCCCTTTAGATTCCATCACGCATCGCGTTGTGATCTGCCGTCAAATGTACAATGTGCAACAGTGCGCAGGTGGGATGGGTGCGCTCCAACCAGATTGCCAGGAACCTGGATACCACGTCAGCCTAAGTTCCCGCCACGGATGCATCTGTCTCGAGCTTGCCTAGTCGTCCTCGAGAAGGGTTTCCGAGGGTTTAGCCACATACGATTTTGACAGGTTTCGCGTTGGAATTACTGTACAAGCATTGTAACGACTCGCATAGGTTATCTGTGTTATCGGGTTATGTATATCCATCCTATTGTTCAGAAACGCGGATACATTCATCAAACATAGGCCGATTGGGCGCGCTAGCATCCATCAGGAATCGACAAGTTTCCCTTACCATCCCTTGATTCTTACACTTAGCCCTAATCACGTGCTGCCGTTCGTATGAACGGAATTACGCGCGGCGCATCGTCGGAAGCACGCAGAGATTCCGCTGAACCGTCGCAGCGAAGCATTGCGGGCGACGTTGACGGCTCGGGGCGACTGCTGCTGAGCGCGGCGCGTGTTTCGCTAGCAACCGCAGATGCTGACTCAGCAACGGCTAGCGCGAGAGAAAGCCATGATGCGACAGTTGCGGGAGCCGAGGCGCAGATGAAACGACTCAATGACACGTGGCGGCAGGAGCAGCATCGTCTGCGTCAGCGGTTGATCGTTGACGACGCGCTCGACTGCCAGCCGCCGCCGCTCCTGCGTGCTGCGGGAAATGCGGAGCTTGCGGAGGGATCCAATCAAGCGGAGAGGGAGGAAACTGCGGGGAATCTGGAGTCGCCCCAAATACAACCGGCCCGAATACAGCCGCCCCTGGTTCATCCACCCCAGATACGACCTCCCCTGGCCCTGGTGGGCGGCGTGGACGTGAGCTTCCACCGGCGCGACCCGGACCTGGCGGCTGCGTGCCTGGCAGTCGTCGCCTTCCCCAGTCTGCGCCTGCTGCACCACGAACTCGCGCTCACGCGCGTCACCCAGCCGTATATACCCGGCTTTCTGGCGTTCAGAGAGGTGCGCAGGGGTTGAGATGAGATGCAGAGGAGTGCGGTGCTGTGGGAAGGATTTCGAGTTTCTGCCATGCATTCCACGTTTCTCTGTCCCGTTCCCGTGCAGCCAGCGCTCTCTGTCCTCTCTTACCCCTCCCTCGCCCTTCTCCCCCCTCTTCCCGTTCCGCCCTGCCCCCACCGTGCCCCTCCGATCGCCATCCTCCCCTCGCGCCCCTCCGTGCGGGCAGTGCGGCGTGCTGGCGGGGCTGATCCGCCGCCTCAGGGACACGCACCCGCACCTCGTGCCGCAGGTGGGGGTGATGCGGGATGGGAGGGGGTGATGAGACGGGAGGTGGTGATGCGACGGGAGGGGGTGATGCGACGGGAGGGGTTGATGAGGGATGGGAAGGGATGAGGAGGATGGGAAGGAGTGGTGAGAAAAGGGAGGGGGGAAAGATGAGCAGGAGAACGAGCAGGGTGCATTAGGGGATGGAATTCACAATTTAGGCTTGCTAAGTCTAATCCCTAAATTTCTGCCACGTGGCAATTTTCCATTGGTTCACTGCCCGCAGGTCATCATGGTGGATGGAAATGGCATCTTCCATCCGCAGGGTAAGCCCCTGTGCCATGCCATGCCATCATGGGCTGTACTGATGCCTGTCACTACCTGCACTTACCGTCCGCTCGCACCCCAATCTCTCACTGCTACTCCTTTCAGTTCCTCTTCTTCACCCCTCTCACTGCACCCACCTCTACGCCCACAACCCCCCTGTTTCCTCCGTGCATGCATACAGGATTTGGCCTGGCGTGTCAGCTGGGCGTGCAGGCAGACATCCCCACCATTGGCGTGGCTAAGAATGTGAGAGCCTCGCACCATGCATGCCTCGTGTGTGCCATGCGCCATGTGTGCCATGCGCCATGTGTGCCATGCGCCATGTGTGCCATGCGCCATGTGTGCCATGCGCCATGTGTGCCATGCGCCATATGCCATGGTTTTTCGAGCACGCACAACCATGATCGTGCACCATGCCATATACCATGCGCCGTGTCCCCATGCATACTCCTGCTGTCATCATCAGACACATCATGCTTCCATCTAGATTCGCATGCCCTCCATCCACCCAACCTTCCCCCTCCCCCTCCCCCCTCTCCCCCCGCCTCCCCCTCTCTTTCCTCTCCCACTTCTCCTCCTCGCATCGTCAGATGTATTACATGGGATGGAATGACTTTCGAGGTGTATCGAAACCCACCACCCCAACCACTCCCCCATTCATCCCCCCCCAATCCCTCCCTCTTGCACCACCAGATGTATTACATGGGATGGAATGACGGGCGAGCAGGTGACTTTTGAGGGGTGTCAAATCCCACCACCCCAACCACTTCCCCATCCCTCCCCCTTGCGTCGTCAGATGTATTACATGGATGGCATGACGGACGAGCAGGTCGGCGGCTTGAAGCGGCAGCATCTGCACCAGCCGGGCGACTGGGCATTGCTCACAGGCGCTAGCGGTGCCACACATGCCGCTGTGAGTGCTGCTCCCCTCGCTGCCAGGCACCCCATGTTCGCATTGCTCTGCATCTTCCTCCACTCTCCATCCCTGAACCGCATTCAAGAATTATCACCTTTCACATCATCGTCCCATCCACTCGTCACCCATCTCCACAACCCCCCCTCACCCATCTCCACAACCCCCCCTCACCCATCTCCACAAACCCCCCTGAACCCATTCCCGCTCTGCCCCCCTCCCACCCGTTCCTCCACTCCCTACTCTTCCCTCCCGCTCTCCTCCCCATCCCCGTCCTCCCTCCCTTCCCCACTGCTCCCCCATGTGGCACCTCTCCCCTCAGCTGGTGAGAGGGGGCCCGGGCAGTCACGACCCGGTGTTTGTGTCGGTGGGGCACCGGGTCTCCTTGCACACTGCAGTCGCCATCACACAGCGCTGCTGCCACCACTGAGCCACCACTAAACACTGCATGCCTGAGCCTGTGCCTTACCCCACCCCCATTTCCCCCTACCCCTTTTGCACCTCTCCCCTCAGCTTGTGCGGGGCGGCCCGGGCAGTCATGACCCGGTGTTTGTGTCGGTGGGGCATCGAATCTCCTTGGAATCAGCAGTGGCCATCACGCAGCACTGCTGCAAGCACCGTGTGCCCGAGCCCGTGCGACTGGCTGACGGGCTGTCGAGAGCCGAGCTGCGGGGAGTGACGGTGGCGGAAGCAGTGGGTGGAGAAGGCAGTGGAGCTTCGGCAGAGCAGAGAGGCATCGGAGAAAGCTAGTGCTGAGTATGGGCGTGTTGAAGTTCCACAGCGTTGCTGCAAGCATCGCGTGCCTGAGCCCGTGCGCCTGGCTGACGGGCTGTCCAGAGCCGAGCTGCGGGGAGAGAGAGTGGGTGGAGAGGGCAGTGGAGCTTCAGCGGAGCAGAGAGGCAATGGAGACAGGTAGTGGTGATTTTGGGCGAGTTGGAAGTTAGACGGCGCTGCTGCAAGCATCGCGTGCCCAAGCCTGTGCGCCTGGCTACAGCCTGTCCTGGGCAAAGCTGTGGGAAGTGGTGGTGGTGATGGCAGCAATGGGACATGAGCAGCGGGTCTTCGGCGAAAAAGGGAGGCTATGGAAAGGCTGACGGATGTGTGTTATTCGCTCTTGTGTACAGTCTATAGCACTATCATGTAATTTATGTACATGGATCTCCTGTACAAATGGTCCCCTTATTCCTACCGTAACCTCCGCACATACCATAAGCTACGAGAGCACTATCCTAGAGTACAATCTCCAGCTGCCGGAGTGATCGATCCACGGGCGTGACACTCGTCCCCATGGCAGCACACAGCTGCTGCATGCGCGAGTACAACCACCGCCGCTCCTCCGCACTCACATGCGCACTCGCCTGCATGCGCCGAATGGCATTGGGGAACAGGCTGATGCTCGTGAAGCGGCACGAGACAGGGTCGAGGTGTAAGTGGAAGAGGAACGAGAGGTCGTTGCGATACTCCTCGTCCACTCTGTAATCGTCGATGAAATCGCCGCAGCTGTACAGGATGGGAGCGCCGTGATGGGATTCCACGCCCTGTATGTGGTGCGCCGACGTGCCTATAACGAGGCTGGCGCCGCAGCGGTCGATGAGGGCGTGTGCGAGACGGCGGATGGCAAGGCTGGGGTGCCAGGCGTAGTTGGGGCCCCAGTGCATGCACACCACTGCGAGTGTTCGAGCAGAGCGCTCCTTAGCGGTTGCCACGAGGCCAGCAATACGGTGCAGGTCAGCGTCGGTCACTCTGCATGGTGGGGAGCAGTGGCATGAGAGATGGCGGAAAGAGAGAGGGAGGGTGACAGTGAAAGACTGAGAGAGACAGAAAAAGAGGGTTGTTGAGCGAGAAGGGGAGAGAAGAGTGCAGGTGGAAAAAGGCAAAAGTGCAAAGGAGGGCACGAGACAGTGGAGAATCAGAGTGGAGCTGTGAAACAGTGGAGGAGATGCAGTCACAGTGTTGCTTCTACACACATTCAACTCACAGCATGAACCAAGACAAATGCAGTCACATACACAATAAGATGGGCACATGAATTATAATACAACGTTGCACGCAGCATGGAATGGTTACACCAGCTTGAATCATGGGCTCACCTCTCAGGGTCTATCAAGTGGATCCCGGGGGAATCTTCAGTAGCCGCCCAGTACTTGAAGTGGTCGGCAGCACTGAACAATGCCAGCTGGATGGGCGGCAATGAGCTGTTGCCACCCGGGAGCTGATTGGCGCATTCAGGAGGCAAAATTGCACAGAGAGTGTGGTGGAGTGAGGGAGAGGGGAAGGGGGGGGGCTTGAGAATGATGTAAGGACTGCTTAGACTCTGCTGACATACAAAAGGAAGAAACAGTAATTCCCCCTAAAACAGCGTTGCAGAGGCACGAGTACGCATGTTCATGCAACCAGCCATGCATGGGACCCTTCATGCGTGTTCTCATGACATGGGGCATGGTTCTGGGTTCACGGATGCAAATGTGCTCACACACACACACACCGTGATGAACGCCGGTGCTGAGGCCTCCGCCAGGTTCCGCCCGCAGCCAGCGAATCGGATGCCGACACGTGTCAAGCTATCCATGGTCTCACGCATGCCCTGCGCCTGAAAGTCCAGCACGTGGTTGTTGGCCAATGAACAGAAGTCGATGCTGGGCGGTTGGCGGGGGATGGGTGGGGAAGTGGTGGAAGAAAGGTGGAAGATTGTTCAGGGAATGTTGAGGGGATGATGATAGAGGCGGATGGGTGAGGGACTGATGAAGAGAAACAAACTAGGAGGGTTCATCATCTAAAATCATATAAGCGGGCACAAAGAGGGTTCTAGGAAATAGCAATAGCATGCAGTACATTCTTGTTGATGGGCTGAGCTGAGAGGCCGTACCCAGCTACAGTGAGAGAATCGATATTAACCGGGTGCATTCTGAAGTTGAACGCCTGATTGGGCCACTTGTCACGATGACATGTCACACTCGTTTCCAGATTTGCAATCCGGCAGTCAGCCTCCCGTAGCAGCGGCAACCAGCCATCCCAGATGTACCCTGCTGACGCGTCTGCAGCTGCTGACGTGTCTGCAGCTGCTGACGTGTCTGCAGCTGCTGACGTGGTTGCAGGTGCGCCCGCTGAAGTGTCAGGCCAGAAGCTTTCCGGTATGTGTGCACTATCCTCCTCAGCACCTTGCTCTGCCTGCCATGCCTGATGCCAGGGCGAGGTTGGGAGAGGTGCGGTGAGGTGTGACGTGACGTGGGTAAGGAGAGGTGCAGCAAAGTGTGGTGGAGAGCTGAGAATTCGAAAAGGAGAGGAAACGGATCAGCAAACGTGGGGAGAAGGTGTGTCTCGATGGTCTCACAGCTGCAAGGGCGCTGGAGTGCTGGTCGATGTGCTCATCCGCTCTCCGAGGCACGGCTTTGCCTCGTCGCAGCAGCATGTGGTTCACCAGGCGACCCAGCATGCAGTCGCCCACCACCGCTATCGTCGTCGTCCGCGCTCCTGACGTCGCACAGGTCGCCATGTCGCTCCCCTCTGACATCACTCGCTTCTGATGCTGCGTCTATTACTGAATCCAAATAACCTAATTTTTCTTCCGTTGAGGTACACGTGCCGCGCAACTATTACGAGATGTGCTATTCCCGCCAATGCTTAATCGGTGCACTTACGAGTGAAAGTCACACTTCTCTTTCTCCCCTCCTACCCACTTTCTACGCACTCAACCCCCACTGCCTAAGCTGACGAGTCCTCTTGAGCTCAAGTTCCGTGTCCAAATGCCATGCCGCCATTTTCCCCAACACTGAAGCATGCGGTACATCATTCTTGCGCGGACAAGAAATGCTTCACAGAGAAACTGAATTCGAGGCAAGGCAAGCTGCGATGAAAAAGACTGCGATGAAAAAGACTGCGATGAAGGTGACTGGAAATTAAATCCACGTGTAAGCTTATGATGGCTTCACGCCATGCATCGTTGTAACGAAGAGGAACGGAAACAAAATTGCTCTTAGTGTCTGAACCCGGAATCGAACCGGAGACCTCCAGTGTGTGAGACTGGCGTGATAACCGACTACACCATCCAGACATACTGCACTATGTTCACCTACATTAATTTTATCATTACAATTATAACCATTCTTGCTGTTTTACCCATTTTTTCTTGTTCGCTAGCAGTTAGCTCACACCCCACTAATCAACAATTATCACCTAGCATTGTAACTAGTATCCATAATTTTCTCAGCAGCACTACCTCAGCAAGGTAGCATACTTCAGGAAAGCTACAGTTAGGTCAAATATCCAGAACCGGCTTTACTGGAGAATGCTCTCAACAGCCTCGAAGACAAGAGGCGCCCACTCAGGACTTGGTGTCTTGATGGCACACTTCGTGCCAGCAACGCCGAGCAAGAACGTGATCTCTAGAAGAATAGGGATGGATGGGGCCAGCTTCGCCGAAAGGTAAAGGATGTTTTGGTTGGTGTCCTTCAGGTGTCGCTTTGCCACGAAGAAGACGTTGTTCGAAGCCAGCTTTTCTGAGACGGAGTCGATGTTCGAGATTGTTATGCCTGACAAATCACGGGAGACCTCGTTGGAATCCGGAAGCGCCTTCCATGTCTGTGGGGTAGGACATGGGCATATGGAGAATGAGTGAGTGATACATACCCAACTCAGCTCGACTGCCAAGCCAACACAGCAGCAGTGACATGCTGTAACGAAATGCCAAAAAAAAAAAAAACATCCTCTACCACAATTTGACATGCTCACCTCGAGGAACACTCCACGTTCCATCCGTCCCTCTTCGGTAAAGAATGCCTGCACCCTGATTTTGTCAGTAAAATACCAGACCGGCTGCTGGTTGTTTTTCACCGCAACTTGAAGGACCGATGATGGAGGAGGAGGAGACACGTTTTGAAAGAGGGTCAATGGCAGATCAGCTGTTGCTGATGCACCTGGCTGAAGAGGTGGCACCTGCAAGACCGTCAACACAAAGCATTAAATGCAAGACAAGACTACCACATCCAGCACAACCAAACTTGAATCCATGTCTTACAGGTAGAACGCCAGCTGGAGCAGATATGCCGAAGGAGTTTTTATTAAGCTGCATCATGAAGCCATCCAACGCTGTGCTAGAGTTGTTGTCAAACTTGACACGGTAAACCACCTGGCCATCCTTACGCTCCAGTTGACCATTGATCTGCAGCCCTTGACCAGCTGATGCTGCTAGAAGAACTGGAAGAGAAGGTCTGCATAAAAAACACCAAGTAAATTAGAGAACCAGCCCACAATTGGACAGGAATATTTAAGTGCTATATACGGATCAGGGTCCATAAGCAGAGAACGCCTTACCCAGAAGGCGCCTCAGGCGCAGGAACTATAGCAGCATCCAGAACCATAAGGTCACCAAGAAGGTCAGGTGGGGCAGGAGCAGCAGCGGGAGCAGGAGCAGCAGGAGAAGGGGATGGAGCAGGAGCAGCTGGTGCTGCAGCTGGAGGAGGAGCTCCTCCTGAAACAGGAGCAGACGACTCCTCATACTCTTCAGACGGCTCAGCTGCTGATGCTGGCACAGCAGAGCGGAGACGAGATACGAAGGCTGAAGGCGGCTTCTGGTAGACAGAAGACAAGGTTGCAATGTTTCGAAGGAGTTCAGCCAGCAAATCCGGGTCTAACCCGGAAACCTCGTCACTGATCGTTGGTTTCTCTGCAAGGACAATGTCTTTTGCTGCCTCAGGGTCTGTTGAGAGAAGCCTCCAATACACATAGGCACGGTCTCGAAGGTCAGGATTGTCCGTCTCTTGGGTTGCGTTGTTGAGAACCGTCTGCACAAGAACAAAAACCTCAGTAAAAGAAGCAAACATGAGGTGCAAGATACAGCGAAGCAAGACTGGAGTAAACTTTCCTGAATCATTCGTTGTGGGCCCTCTGTTGGCTTCTTCAAGAAAAGCTTCACGGCTGCAGTCAGCAATTGCAGCTGAACCTGTGAGGGCTCCTCCAAAAAGGTTTCCAAGAAGCCTTCCAAGAGTTCATCGGCATTGTCAATGCGCTCAGCGTACTCTCCAATGATCCATATCATCGACGCCTGCATAATGCAATGGCCACGTGAGATGTGATGCACCAAGTAGATTAGAAAAAAAAACATGATGATCGACCATCCGTACCTTCGCCTCTGGTTCATCCAAATTGTCCAAGCTTTCACAGAGTGTTGCGATAATGGATTCATACCTGCTCAGATAGGCAACAAGCAACCGGTTATAAGTGGGTGTATGACCAACAGATTACACAACACCGGATTGCTTCACTTACGTGTTTGGATATCTGCGAAAGATGTCCTTGATCACAACGATAGCCTCCTGGACGACGTAATTGACCTTGATCTTGATAAGGTCCAAGAGGACATTGATGCATCTCTCTGCAGCCTTCTCGAGCTTGATGGCACACCGGCCAATAGCACGAACAGCTTTCCTAACAAAGTCCACATCCACCTCAGTTGCATACTCCTTGAACTCGAGCAGCACCTGACAACCAAGTTCCCCAATTAATCTTGAAGTACGCTGACAGAAACCACATGGATAGCGAGACAAAAACATTAAAGCATATACCTGATCAATGTTTCTTTCAGAAGCGAGGCGAATCATGATCTCAAGCTTCTCCATCTTCACGTAGATGGGATCATTATACTTGCAAAAGAAAACCTAAAGAATGACGCAACAGATTAGTGCGGTTATTTCACCAGCAAAAAAAAGCAGAAAACGACTTTTCAACTGACTTCACAAACCTTGATTTCATGTGCAAGAATAGATGGCCTCTTTTGCACGACGAGGTTGATGTTTCGCAGAGCCACATACTGAATCTCAGGCTCTGACGAAAGAAGCGTGACCAACGGAGGTGCCATCTTCTTGCACAGGTTCCGTATCAAGTCAGTGCTTGTGATAAGCTCCATTTGCAACAAAATGACCTGACCAATACAGCGTACACGTTGAGAACTTTGTTCATAACAAAGCAGAAAGGGAAACTTCGCGCGACAACAAGGCCCAGCAGACGCACTTTGACAGCAGAAAGGACAACAGCTGAATTCGCATGTTGCAAACGCGGCGTCACGCGTTCCACAATTCCCTCAGCTTCACGAGCATCACGTGCTTTGTACTTGGAAAGAGAGTCCAAGATGAAAACCTGTCCCCACCTGAGGTCATGACACAAGTCGCTCGTTAGACACGTCAACAAATCTTCAGTCGGACACGAAGCTACAGAGAATCACTCACTCGGTACACTCGTTCAGTGCAGCAAGCAATTTGAAGACTGTGTTAGGCGTGATGTCGAAGACAGGCTTGCTGCTGCCTTCTTGAATCTCGGAGAGAGCGGCAACGGCGTTGGCCACTACCATGGGATTGCTGTCAGAGATCATATCCCGCAGTATGTCTAGAAACCCACGATCCTCGACAAGCTCTGCGTTGATATCGTGGAGCTTGGCCACACAGATTGCCGCGGTCTTCCGAACGTACGGGTCGTCGTCCTGAAAAAAAATGGAAAATAACGGTTAGTTAAGGCAACCACACCTCAGCTAAAGAGGTTAACAAAAGGTTGGCATGTACCTTCAGGCATCGCTGCAGTGGGTCACACAGGTACTCCGTGATACGATCAACCCTAATGCAACCCATTGTTCGCACCGCCAAGGCCCGTATGAGCGGATTCGGATCTTGCGAGTCCTGGAGAAAAAAAACGTCAGTGACTGAGCTCTACACCAAGTAAAATCGATCATTGAGGCGTTAAGCACCTTTACAAACGTGTTGACGGCGAGGATGGCAAGATCCGGCTGGCTCTTGGCATAGTTAATGAGGTACAGATAAACAAGCTTCTTCAGCTCCAGGTTCTCCGTCTGCATGCAGTTCACAACATCTGTGAACAACATGGACACGTCCTTGCCTACAGTCATGGCTGCAATGACCTTCTTGACCGCATCCTTCCTCTTCTCCTGCAGCACATATCCACAAATCGTATTTCAATGGTACGCTCAATAACCTACATCTGGCGTGATAACCAAAAATCGACTACGCAATGGTCCAAATGTTCCTAGCTTCAAGACGGCACCTTGTACGGCGAATTTAGCTCCTCTTTCAATTCATGAATCTCGCCCTTTTTTGTTGTCGTAAAATACTTGGAATCGTGACCGCTCATGGCTATAGCTTCTATGTAACCAGCTAAAGGACGGACGACGGTCTAGGCGACAGCAGCCAGAACCGAGAAATCTCCTAGCCTCGTGCCTGGAGCGGATCTGACTCCAGAAAGATCACCAACAGGAGGTGGATGCGCACGAAAGTGGTGAAACGGCTCGCTGGCGAGAAGCAGAAAGCATGCGAAACTCGTTCAAGCGTGACCAGCAGAAGGTAGGTAACGGGTATGAAAGTTAGCAGTTTGTAATTATGCAATGTCTACATATCAGATAAAACAAGAGGCGAAGGGTTGCGAAGTGTATGCATATTCACATAATCTGTTTGATTTTATTTGTTGCTAGTTACAAAGAGTGTACAAACAGTG